CAGTGTATAGGTACCCGCATCCCTTTTCTCCCCCAAATAGCGTCGCAACAATGTTCAACAGTACCAATGAAAACAAAGTGAATACAATGAAAAAGAAAAAAAACAACAACCATCAATAATGCATACACAAGCGCGCGACATGATGAACGAGTTCAATGATTGATACCGATCATTATGTGAATCGTTCCGACATGAGTACAAGTCTCGATTTGACAGCAGACATGGTGAACGAGGCGCGAGAGAAGCTCGTCCTGCACTGGAACTACCGGGGCCTCTCCGAGATTCCCGAGGCGGTGCGCCACGTCGGGGCGCAAGTGCAGGAGATCTACCTCAAGTGGAACGAGCTAAAGAGCTTGCCGATCTGGCTGGCCGATTTTGCGAGCGTGACGAACCTCTACCTCTACGGCAACAAAATCGAACGGTTGCCCGATACCCTGGGACTCATGACTAAACTTACGGTGCTCGATCTCAGTGCCAATCGGCTCGAGGAGCTTCCCGATTGTTTGGGCTCGCTCGAGGCTCTCCGCTCGCTCCTTCTCAATCAGAATTACATAGCGTCCCTGCCAACCTGTAAGCCTGTATAATATATGTATGCGTTGCACAAAAGATTTTTCTTCTTTTTTCCCTTCTCGTGTTCCTTTTGCTTTAAAGCCATGAGTAAGCTGCGGAACCTCGAGTACTTGTGCCTGTCGGGAAACCAGTTGGTCGTCCTTCCGGAGTGGCTCGGCTCGCTGCCAAATCTCGCCGAGCTATTTGCCGACAACAACAACCTACGAGAAATTCCAAACAGACTGACGCTGTCGACATCGCTGGACACGCTGTCGGTTTGCTCCAATAAACTGAGCCACCTGCCCTTGAACGGATTCGCGTCCTCTCCGCAGATCCGCTTCGACTCAAATTCCAGGCTGAACTACCTGTCGCTGCCCGTCTTTTGCCAGCTGGTGTCGAAATTGCGCCAGTCGCCAAGCCAAGGGAACACCATAGCTTATGGGTACGCTGTGAGCGTTAAAGATAAATTTTCCGCCCTCGGGTGGTTTTGGGAGGCTGGTACTTCCTCGGGCGAAAAAGCAGTTTTCCGGAACTTGTTCGAAAAGTCTCCTTTACGAACCTCGTTACGTCCCTCGCCTTCGGCTCGGGCCGCAAACCTCTCGGTTTGCAAACAGAGACTTTTTAAGCTCGTAGGAAAACTACCATTACCAAGGGCGCAAAGTGAAATTTGGCGCCCATGGGCACACTTTGGTTCCCGGAAATCACTTTGGGCCCTAGGCCAGGAAAGTACTTTGGGCCTGGAGGGCGCAAGAAACTTTTCTGCCCGTGAGTCCACAGTGGTTTACGGTTTCAAGAAAAAAAAAAAAAAGAAAAAAAACTGTGCTAAGATCTGAATCGTGCATTTAAGATTTTAGACTTAATCTTGACGGTCTCTAAAAAATAAAAAAAAATTTTTCAGAGGTGTGCTCTCATAAACAAATCTTTCATACAAACAAAAATAAGGAAACGCATACAGGTCTAATAAATGCAATTTTTAGGGATTTTTCTAAAGTTACATGTTAAATTGCAATTTTTAAAAATGAATCATGTGAAAAAGGGTATGATTGAATAAAATGTAATTTCTTCTCAGTATTTTATATGCTACATTGAGTATAATTTTTTTTTTTTTTAATAANTTAGGAAATGTCTTCACAAATTACTGCTTGCGTATATCTTTATTTTTGTTCTCATTTTTAGTAACCAAATGACATATTACATACTTAATAATAATCATATTAAATAAGTCATTAGAATTACAATTTAGTTAAGAAAAATAATTTAAAGATAAATATAATTTTTTATTACGGAGAAACAACATCTCATTGGTGACACTTTGATTCACTACTTCCGTTGAGTGTCGGGATAGAATCAGCTCAGCTGGGACTTAATGTTCTTTGCCAGATTTGACATTTATTACATCAGAATATTTTAAACACTTGATTTTGAAAGTGGATAGTACATCATACTGTTTTTCCTTGACAAAATGTTCTAATAAAATTCGTTCGGTACTATGTGAACAAGACAAACTTCTAGCAAGAATGTCTATATCTAAGATTCGACGCCCTTTGAATAAAACTTCTCTCTCGGGAAGGCAGAGCTCATTATTTTTCTTCTTAGTCTCCATTCTCTTCATGTTTTTTGGACCAACCTTCTTCTTTCCTCGAATGATTTTGACTAATTTTTTTCCACTAAAAAACTTGCCTCCGTTTACAAGTAACAACTGGTTTTTGGACCAGTGATCCATTTCTCATTATTTATTTTCATTAAACTATAAAGATTATAGGAGATATAACATCGTGTACAATCAGCTGACGCTATATTATGTACATAGATGCACTGTTACTCTCACTTCACGAAATAAGTACACAATTGCCAACTCTGCACTCTAAATGATTTGCGAAGTCATTTATCGACATAGTCGCGTACATACAACTAACGCTAGATGACGTACCTTTCGAGGGAGAAGCACTGCAATGACTTTATAAATTATTAGGAAATATTAATAAGATTTAGTATCTTACATAGTTACCAAAATGATATGTGACAAAATAGAAAAAATAAAAATGTTCACCAACAACTTAAAATCGATGGGTGGGGTTCAAAAGTGATACAGTTATTTTTTAGTTCTAGTTAAAATTTTTTAATTTATACCATAATTTACTTATATGAAAACTGTAATACATTCTAAGTTATCATTCTAACTTCAATTCAGCAAATCAATGAATTTTAATGGATTTTTTATAAATTTTATAGTCTTCTATTTTTTCTAAGTGTACTAAGCTTAATGTCAGACTTTTATCACAATTTCAACTGAACTGCTTAACAAAGATGGCGAAAATTTTTGATATGAAACATCTATTGGCGTGCTTGGAGGTTCGACCGACGCGATGAAGCGACCAGTGCGATGGTAGGATTTCTGGTTAAACTTGGCTCGGCTTGGTTCTCTGTCTCTTTCTTTACGCGCGTACTGCCACCCGTGTCTCATTTGTAAAGTGTACTACTGGTATTATTATAGCTATATAAAAAGTTATACAATAATTAAATATCATATGTGTATTGTGTATATAGCATATACATACACGTACGCATGTATATATTATGTTATATATACAATAGAAAAATAACAAGAATGCACTTGAAATCAACGGTCATATTATAAAAAATGTAACTGCAGCAGCTAAAATTTGCAGGGCATATATTTTATAATCTTGATTAACATCGATGTGTAAGTCTTTTTCTAAAATTGAATACAGAAATAGTGTTTTTCAATAAGTTTTTTTTATAAAAGTCAATTCATGAGTAATTTGTCTGGACCCTAATTTTTGTCAGTTTTTGCATGATCCACCAACAATTATGTATAATTTCTTAGCTACATCATTAGCTACCTTAAGTACTGCTATGAGCTATGTTTACGCATTTTACTGTCAGTATAATAATGTTAAAGTTTTAAGAAATGGAGTATTAGGGAAAATAAGAAAATTTTATTATTTTACTTTAGTTTGCAAAATATGGTGAAAAATGGAACGTTACAAAAATTTGGATTGCACCATTCAAAACAGTGATTTTGAATGTGCTGGAAATGATACTTTATCACTTCGTCGTGCAAATGTCAATTATTCAGGTAGAAAAGAATTGGTAAAATCTTAGTAAATAATCGATTTTTTTTATCAGTAATGGAAAAAAAAAAAAAAAGTTGAACTGGTACCTAAATCACGTGTTAACTATTTTATTCTTATTATTGAAGGTCTCTTAAAGATGAAAAAAAATATTTTAGATGTGTGCCTTTATAAACAAATTCGGTGGATTCATTTACCTCGAAAAGTGAAAAATAAGAGGAGACTTTATCATGGCCGATGGCGTTTTTTTTGCTGGGATCGGGCATTTTCTAAATAAATTTAAAAATTGTAATCCAAAACCGAGAATGATTAGTTTTTTTTCAAAGTAATATCAGTTTTTCTTAATCCGTTTGATTACATCGCTGATAAAAGAGAACTATTTGAAGCTGATCCGCAAACTGAAAGACTGGTAAGAAGCTGTAACGAAAAAAATTTGTTGACATTATGCACTGTTTGTCAACGTGAAAAAAATCGAGTGTTTGTTTACTATACATACGTACAGTATACAAAAAAATGTTCCATTTTTTTCATATTTTTTATCAAGCAGAAATATTTTAGAGTTAATTAAAAAAGTGTCTTTTGTAGTTTTCTCAGTAGTTTTCGACGAGCTTACATCCGATCGTTCTAAGATTTGGTGCGTATCTTCAGAAGAAAAATACCTACTTTGTGTCCATGTTTTGCGATACATCGAAATCTATCGTGCTACCACGATTCAGTCTATTTCTTGGAGACGAAAAAATACGATTTTGATAAAATTTTATGGGATTATTATTATTATTTTTATTATTATTATTATCAACAATTTCACGAAATCTCAGACTTCTCGGTATTATTGTTCTTGAGATATTAAATATGTAAGAAAGCACATTTTTAACATTGAATACTTTTTACCGTTAAACGAAAATACCAAGCGACCTCTATCTGGGATTAGTTTTTGGAAAGTAATGACAAAAAACTCTACAGGTACGTATTACAAAATACGCACTGGAAAGATGATACAAAGCAAAATGTGAATAGTCACTTTTTTTTCAATAAATTTTTTAATTAAAAAATAAAGCACAACTTTTACATAGTCTGGGTAACAATAATCGTATAATACGGCAAAAAAATCTTGAGAATCATTCAAAACATTGCTCCCGCCCAGCAAATGTAGGCAAAAATCCCTGGCATCTGGTCTAATACACTAAAACCTGATTCAACTCTCTGCAGCTAATTTTTGTCTTTACATTATCTGTATTTCTAAATATATTAAACTTATGATAATAATTTAAAGATAAATATA